TGCCCTTGGAAGGATCAGTATTCTCATGTCTTAAACCTTCCACTAATAATAACCTTGTCTTAGCCCTAAACTTAATTTCAGTGGCCTTTACTACTAAGCAGTCCGTATTATGGGCTGTTATTCCTACCATGTTCTGTCGAGGGAAGGAGAGGGGTGTGCAGGGGATACACACAAGTACCGCCAACCATTTACTGCGCCCTATCCTCTCCCTGACGTGAGGGTTATGGTTACCATCCGTCGTAGAATTCCATTTTCCGTCCGTTCATGTCTACATGCTTGTCATTGTAGTCTGCTACTGCGTCTAGTTGAACGTAAAGTGTTGGTGGCTGATGGACTAAGATACACCGACTTTCCGATTATAAATAGGAATTCACGAGCTGTATGCCATTTATGAAGATATGTGTCACTGTGCACGACATGAAGCGATCTTCGACTGACTGAGCAGTGTAAGGTGATGCTAATCTCGAACCGCGGTCATATGCGTACAATCCTCATAACGTGGTAAAAGTTAAAGGCTCATGGATAACCCATACTAGCTGCTCGCACCTGCCTTCTTCGTATTGAGTATTCTTCCACTCTGTGGGATAGTCCTTTGAAATGTTTGTGCTTACGAACAACCAATTAAATATGTTTTTTTTCTAAATGAATACGATAGTCCTTTTACCCTAATGTATCCAGAATTCTACACACAGCCTTCCCTACGTCCCAGAATCCAACGGTATAATTTATAAAATGAATCCAATTCGCAGATAAACTCGGACGATCCTAATTTGGGATAACCTTAGTGCAACCTTATAATATTCTTCGAAGTTGGCCTTCCTGACGCATATTTGGGACAAACAGGTCGACAGAAATATGATGGAAGTCGCATCATGTCGGCCGAACAGAGTACCAATGGATTAGTTTGCGCCGACTCACTTCTATCAGAAGGCCCCGAAAACACTACTGATAAGCTCCCAACAGCCACGGGAAAAATAAATCAATTAAGGCTCACGTTCAGCGAAAGGTAGACTACAAAGGACTTGTTTAAGCACACACACTTTTTTAATAGACAAGAGAAGATCGTAGAAGAGAAATGAAGGACAAAAGTGAACATGCGAATGTTAATAGGACACCACATGCAGATCCGGGCGAATGAAATAAAGAGCTTAAATGTATGGCGTAATAGGGAGTTCCATTTACAGAGACCTTCCTGTAGCGTAGTAACAAAATATCGCAATAATGAAATTTCGCTCGGGCAGGTTCTAAAAGGATGGATATAACAGCTTTTAGCTTAGGGAATAATTTTTTCCGTCTTTATTTCACCCAATTATGAAAAAAACTCGTGGCGTGCGGCGGGATTTGCATCCTTATAGCAGGGAAGGCCTTTACGCGGCCAACGCTCTACCAATTGAGCTACAAACGCCACGCCGCGCGTGCCCCATTCGCAATAAGTCATTTTCCACCACATGGCCACCCTGTCAACAACATCACCACGAAAATGTATGCCGTCGACTGTGGACGAAGGATAAAATGGATCAGATGTTTCAGGACCCATACATCATAAATTGGATTTTACTCAAAATACCTTCGAGCATCTAAGATGACATCATTGACTTGAACTAAGTCACCTTAATGTGATGCGTTTATTCATGGACATAATATGATTTTGGGCCGATAGTGCCTAACAGGGAAACCAACATTTTACTACCGTGACACTTTATCTCCTTTCAGCTCGGAATATTTTCTATCGACCCAACCTGGTAAGTTTTAATTTTTTATGTTAACTACTGTTTTGCCGTCAATAGTAGCCTGTGCTTTGATTTAGAGCTTACGGCTTTTGTTGGCTTTCTTACTTCCTTCTTCCCTCGCACCTCGGC